TTGCAAAGGTTTCATTTAATTTGGAAAAGGTTTCGTTTAATTTAGAAAAAGTTGCATTTAATATGTAAAAGATTATCATTTAATCTGGAAATTCTATAGATCACCAAAATATTGCATAGAAGTGTGTCTGCAGCCAAGTCATGTACAAAAATGGATTATAGCCATCTACGTTTATAACGATACCAACTTATTTATTTCACGAATTTGTTGATTTAATTTTTATACCCACCAGCATATGGTCGAGTGTATACTAAATTTGTCATTCCGCATTGCAACAACTCGAAATGTTCACCGGAGACCCTAAATAGTATATTTAATTTCATCAGAATACAATTATATGTCGATTTACGAATGCCCGGCTGTTTGTTGAAATCACGATAGAGATCGCAAAATTTAAGATAGAGATCCTAAGATCTTTGGTAATGAAATGGGATATATCGGTTTACGTTTTTGTGCAGTCCCCATATAACGGTACCCCCAATATTGGGAATTCTTGGACACCTTTTCCAACTAACTTGGCTGTAGTTTTGTATTTATTGTTCTCATTGTATAACACATCCTTCTACTAAATATTACTAATATGGAACAATTTTAAGTGTAGCCCCCATATACCCCACTAAAAAAAAACATTTTCACTACCCAAAATTATTAACACTGTATATTTAATATGAGTTTTCTCATCAGTTATACAGTTATACTGTCAGTTTATACCCTACAAAGTAAGGAATTCTAAGACGATTTGGCCGATTTAGCCATATGTTGTAGTCATTCTACCTTACGGCATACCGAAATAAAAAAACTAGAATGTCAGGTTCGAGAATAATCTATATCGGCCGTATATAAGCCTATGCCCCATATAATGATACCTACCGATTTTTGGTCTTTTTAATATTTATCATGAAGGAAGGTACAAAAGGAATAAGTTTGGTTCGAAATAGAGCTATATCGGTCCTCAATTAGGCATAACGGCTCATATAATGATAACTCCAAATGATAAGGGCTATATCGACGCCTCCGAACCATAGTATGCTAGGTCGACTTAGCATATTTTAAAGTTCTTTACGTTTTTAGATACTACGGTCCTTAATTTACATTCACGGAAATTTTTTCGTAATCATCGGCCAATCCAAACCAAAGTTATAAGCAAAAATTTACTTAGCATGGCACGTACGATTAAAGAAACTTCCATACTTTGAAAGCTTCTACTGAAAAACTCACTTTTCAGACTTAGCATACTATGGTTCGGAGGCGTCGATATAAATATCCCACCCATTTTTGTTTACATCACAAGTTTTAACCACACTTCCCAAGGTCATTCGCTATAGTATAGTTCCACGTGGGGTTGGAACTTTAATGTCAAGCAACTATCAGTATACCTATGATGGAGGGTATCGATAGTTCGGCCCGTGCGAATTTAACGCTTTTTTCACATGTTTTGCTTTATTCAGAATATTACATACAACATAGCCAACAAACGTAAGATGCGTCTATGCACAAATTTATCTCTTTTTCGGAATTCTTTCCGATTTTAGTGAGATAAAAACAGACGGGCGGGCGGACATAACTAAAATTTCTCTGGAATATTTTTTTAAAATAGACCAAAAAATAAAGGCAATTTTACCTCACCGTTGTTTTCAAGCCATGCCAAATTATTTTAAATATCTTTTATAATTTTTTTTCTTGTCATTGTGGTCAAAAAGAATATTAGATTATATTTATTTTTTTTCATTACTGCACCTACCACATCCACTGTACCTACCACATAATTTTGCAATCGAACTGCTGTGGAATAATATTGATTTGCACGAAAAAAAAATAAAACAATCATTCTTTCTAAAAATTATTTCCAATCGAACAAATTGTTTTCACAAAGTATCTGCAAATCGAAAATTTTGTTGCATGGCCTTTCGTTTTCAATGCATAAAACCCACTGTTTTCTAAGGTCTGTTGCTTACAAAAGTATAATTGTTTTTGCTCAATCGAAAGAGTTTCGTAATGAATTCTCAGAAAGTTTTGTCAAATTTTCCTTTGTTGTACATGTTGTTGCACCAAAGCAATTTCTAGTTTTTTTTTCGCAAAAAGAATATCATTTCAAAAGTTTATGTTACTTTTAAACGCCGTTTACAAGGCTAGAAGTTACTTGTTGCATTTTGGTACACAGATAACAGACGCTTGTTACAAAGTTTTACATACAATTTGATTTAAATGTTGTGGATTTTGTTTCGGTTTCTCAAAAACAAACAACAACCCAACTACTTTTACGTTGAAATATTTATTTCATGTAGATAATAGTTACACATTGGCATGTGGTTACCCAACATAGATTTGAATATGTAGCAATATAGGAATAAAAGGCAGTGAGGGAAGAACAAATGGAAGACGAGGAATTGTTATTATTTAATGGGGGCCCCAGCACAAGGACTCGCGATCGAACAGAGGTCTTTAAAAAAATATTTCTTATTCGATTTAACTGAAGAAATATCATCTCAAAAATAACCTGCAATAGCCGAAAACAAAGATATAAAGTTTTTATACTGTGGTGCAGGGTATTATGTCTATGTGCATATGCTTCTAACAGCCAAAATTAAACAAGATGGACACATGGGTCCTTTTGAGAACCCATTCTGAGTTGATTTATACAAGTTTGTCTATCCATCCATCCGTGCCTGTATTTATGTGAACAAAGTACAGATCGCATTTATGATCCGATTTGGATGAAATTTGGAATATGTTACTTATTTGGCCCAAGGACAAATCCTTCTGGAGGAAAACGGTTCAGATTTCGATATATCCATCATATATATATATATATATATATATATATATATTCGTCCGATTTAATGTAAGTGTTACACCAAACACCCAATATTTGTCCGATTGAAACAACATTTTGCACAGCGTATTAAAACAGGTCCATATTGAGGTGTAGGAAGTTTTGTGTAAATCGGTTCAGATTTAGATACAGCTCCCAGATGTAGTTTAGTCCGATTTTTGGTAAAGGGAGCACCAAACTCCCCATATTTGTCTGATTAATACAAAATTGTGCATTGTGTAGTTAAATAGGTCCATATTGATATGTAGGAAGTTTTGTGGAAATCGGTTCAGATTTAGATATAGCCCCTATATATATTTTTTCGTCCCATTTTATCTAAATGGTGCATCAAATACAAATATTTGTGCGATCAAAACAAAATTTTACACAGCGTACTGAACTAGGTCCAGTTTAATGTCTTCGAAGTTTTGTTGAAAACGCTTTAGATTTAAATATAGTAAATGTAGCACCAAACTCCTAAGCATTGTCCGATTGATACAAAATTTTGCAAAGCGTAGTTAAATAGGTCAATATTGATGTATAAGAAGTTTTGTGGAAATCGGTTCAGATTTAGATAGTGCTCCCATATATAGTTTCGTATAATTTTTGGTAAATGGTGCACCAAACCCGCAAAATTTGACCAATTCATATAAAATTTTGCATAGCGAACAGACTTAAGTCCAATTTGACTTCTGTAAAATGTTGTTAAAATAAGTTGAGACAAACCTACTATTTCTCCGATTCAAACAAAAATTTGCACAGCGCACTGAAATAGGACCATGTTGTTGTATATATTTTCGTCCGATTTTATCTAAATGGTGCATCAAACTCCCAAAGTTTTTCCGATTGCACCGAAGAGCCTATGTTTATTCGATTTACACGAAATTTGGCAGAGGTGAGTTTAGATTTACACCTTTTTCAAATGTTATTCAAAACATTTCAATTGCAATTCGAGAATTCCATTTGTAATTCGAAAACGCAATTTGCAATTCGTAACATTTCACTTGTAATTCGAGTATGTAATTTGTAATTCACAACATTTCATTTGTAATTTTAAACTTTTCGTATGACATTCAAAAAATTACATTTGAAATTTAAAAAATTTCATTCGTAATTCGAATATTTCAATTTGCATTTTGTAGAGTTTCATTTTAAATTCAAAGAAATCCATTTGAAATTCAAAGATTCCAATTTGAAATTCATAACATTTCACTTGTAATTCATAAAATTTCTGTTGTAATTCATAACAATGCATTTCAAATTCATACATATTCCTTTTGTGTTACAAATAATATTTTTCGAATTTAAAATTAAATGTTATGAAAAGCAAATGGAATGTTATGTATTTCAAAACAAATGTCAAGAATTTCAAATGGAATTATTTAAATTTCAAATGGAATTTTATTGAATTCAAATGGAATTCTATGAATTTCGAAAGGTATTCTAGGAATTACAAATGAAATTCTCGAATTACATCTGATATGTAGTGAATTGCAAATGGAGTTCTCGAATTGCAAATTATATGTTGTGAATTACAAATGGAATTCTCGAATTACATTTGATATGTTTTGAATAACATGTGAAAAGGGTGTAAACATATCTCCCATATATATTTTCGTCTGTTATTATATATAAGGTGCACCGATGAACACCACTTACATGGACACCGCACTGTGGCATCAAATGGTATACACCACGGTTGCTCAATTAGGTCCAGATATACATATTACACATTATTATGCTCGATTTACTACAAATGGTACACAAAAGAATCCGATTGACATGCAAACTTTAATAGATTTCAGACTGGTATGAGTATTGGTTTTTTTTTGGTTCAAATGTCTATGTAGATCACACATTTAGTTTCGCCCGATTCCATTTCAGTGGTCCTCTAAAGATTATATGGCTGTCCTATCTACAGTATACTGCATATATTAGCACGTCTTGTATATATCCAAAGTGGTGAAGGGTATCATATATTCGGTCCCGTCCCTTTTGAGCTTTCCTTACTGGTTTCTTCATGGACTTAAGTTAACGGCAAAAATTGCTCACAACACTACTCAAAAGCATGACCTATTGGGAATTTGCCCTTCAGTGTCAGGGGCTCTAATTTCCAATGGAAATTTTGACTCCCCAAAATCTTGTTGCACAGCGTAATTATTATTATTTTTTCTTTCATCCATATAAGCTATGCTGGGCGTACTGAACTTCCCGATAACCTAAAAGTACTTTTTCGAACAGTAGCTATGATGGTGCCAGATTATGCAATGATCGGTGAGATCACATTATATTCAAATGGATTTGACGAAGCACGTCAATTAGCTCAAAAAATTGTACTTGCATACAAGCTTTGTTCGGAACAGCTGTCATCGCAATCACATTACGATTATGGTAAGTAATACGAGCTGACTTTCTTTGTCGTATGCAATAATTTGGAGACCTTCTAGGTTAATATAAAGGTAGAGTAGAGTAAAATAACAGATTTTCCAATGTAATATGTTATTTTGGCATTTAAATGGAAAATGATTTTTTTTTAATTTCTTAAAGAAAATCACTGCATGTGTTCAATATTTCATTTCAGGTATGCGTGCAGTGAAATCTGTTTTGTTGGCTTCGGCATCATTGCGTCGCTTGTATCCCGATTTACCGGAATCACAAATAGTTTTACGCGCCATTGTTGATGTGAATTTACCAAAATTCCTGGAGCAGGATGTTTCGTTATTCGTTGGTATTTACACGGATCTTTTTCCTGGAACGGAATTACCGATGGTAAGTCACATATGAACAGCTAGACCTGTGGGCCTATTCTGTAACTTTTAACAACATTCGATATTGTTTAATTTTCTTTCGTTATTGTAAAAACAACAAAACAAACAAATTAATTTGTTGTAAAATAAACAATGTCGAATGTTGTTAAAAAGTTACATAATTGGCCTACTGAAGTGCAGAGATATAAAATGTTTACTGCAGGAGGCTGTGTAATTTCAAAGATGTCTAAAAGCTTTGCCAAAGTGTAATAGCTATGACATCAAAGGTATAATGACAATACTACATGAAAGTAGCGATTGAATTTCCTCGAAAAATTAAAAACATACAGTTTCATATTAAATTTTAAAATGAAAGTTCTGAAACAAGAAAACTTAATGTTTAAACCGATCACATAAATTTAGCATGTAATGATGGCAAGAGTAAATTGCGTACTGCACCGACATTTAAGATCAAAGGAAATGCGCTGATTTTAACGAATTCTTTAGGTTTTTGCTTATACGCTTTCCTATATTTTGTTTTCTTTTAAAAATAATCTCAACATTTCAAATTAAAATATCCTTTATTCGCAATGTTTTCTCTTCGCTACAGCCCTCTCGTGATGATCTTATGAAATGGCTGAAAATAACCTTGGCCGAAAGGAATTTGCAAGCAACACCTTGGTTTGTTGAGAAAATTTTACAAATCTATGAAATGTTATTGGTCAGACATGGTCTAATGGTAGTGGGTGGACCAATGGGTGGAAAAACTACAGCTTGGCAGGTACTGCTTTCCAAATTATTTATTAAGTGTAAAATTTTTAAGGTTAGTATTTAATGTTCTAGGTGCTTGCCCATTGTTTGCGTTGCCTAGCCAACGATGAGACAGCCACATTGCGTGAATATCCAACGAATTATCGCATTATCAATCCAAAAGCCATAACTATGGGCCAACTCTATGGTCGTTTTGATCCCATCTCACATGAATGGTATGATGGTGTTTTGGCTAAGACATTTCGTGAATTTGCCACAGCTGCTGCGAATGAACGCTATTGGATTTTCTTTGACGGTCCAGTCGATGCTGTTTGGATTGAAAATCTAAATACCGTTTTGGATGATAACAAAAAGCTGTGTTTGATGTCTGGTGAAATTATCACCATGACCAAGCTAATGAATATGATGTTTGAACCGGCCGATTTGGAACAGGCATCGCCGGCAACTGTATCGCGTTGCGGTATGATATACATGGAGCCTGCTCAATTGGGTTGGCGTGCTTTGCATAGCAGTTTTCTCAATGTATTATCGGAGAATGTGGGCCTCAACGATATTTATATGACATTGTTTGAGGAAATGGTGGAATGGTTAGTCCCAGCAGCTTTGGATATCTTAACGGATTGTAAGAAAATGTTGGAGACATCTGCAATATATCAATATCAAGTAAGTTGATTGATTTCTTACTATTACTATCCTTCGGGACTGTGTTGTTGATAGGTGGAGGACAAGGTGGACGAACAGTGACAAAGGGAGGGTGACGTACGAACTTATTCGTGACGCAACGTTCGTAGCTCTCTCAATGCTTTTCTGCATAAGAGAGGCCTGGCCCAGACGGATTTATGTGGGTGCGGGATGACTGAGGACTGGAATCATATACTGACGGAATGCTGTTACTATGATGACTTTAGAGATTTAGCAAGTATGGGTATATCGAATGGAGGGGCGGGGTCTGATTTCAGTAGTGCTCTTGAAGACAATCGGACCTTTAGTTGTTTGAGTAGTGAAGCATTTAGGAGAAGGACAGTACTTAGCGAAGGTGGTCCTCGTGCATAGCCTCCTTGCAATTGGGTTTAGACGGTTGTACCGGGTGGTGGTGGGTTGGTGCGCCGGTTGGCGGTGGTGCGGTTGGTTGTTGTTGTGGATGCTGTGCTCTGCTGTCGTTCCGCATCGTGGGAGGTTCGCGGTCTCTCTACTTCGCGGAAGTCACTTCTGCGGTTGTGGATGTCGTGTAGGCTGCCCGTGAGGGCAGTTTCGTTGATTGTTTGTCTTGTGATGTCCGATGCCGCGGTCCTTTGGGCCCTTTGTGCAGTCCGTGAGGACAGCATGTTAATTGTTTGTGTTATGTGTATTTGTTCGACGTCGCCACTGCTTGGGGCAAGGTTTTTCCTTGCCGCCTGCGGGTTTTGAATGGTGCTGTATTTTGCATTGGAATACCAGCCCGGACTTGCGTCGAACTGGGAGAGGCTTCGGTCTCGAGCCTGAGCGGAGGTTTTCCGTACCGCGGGTGTCAGGTGCCCCTGGATCTGTTGATCCAGTCTGACAGTTGGTGTTGCCCCCTGGGGAGCTTCGCGGGGGTTGTGGTTTTGCCCTCACCAAGGGGGAGAGTATGCCTTCTACATGCTCTCCAATTGGTGCAGCACTTTGGTGCGCTGGTGGGCGCATATCCGCCTTCTTGTCAGAGAGAGAGAGAGTAAAAGTGGAGTATGTTTGGTGGTCCTTATGGCACATAAATTTTTGTGGTTTTAATCATCGATGCTCATAATACTTGCATTGGTATTTGTATGTTACTCGCCCGTCTATGCTGAACAAACAGCAAATCTAAATTGAGAAAGAATACGTATGTCACGATAAAGTAAAGGGCTGAGCAACACTGGTTTTAATGTTTCTGTTTTTATTTTAAGTTTACTTCTTCTTTGTTATGTCTTCGTCCCGTTTCATCTTATTTACTAACATCATGTTCATTTGAATAACCATATACAATGTTAAACAATCGGTAGGGATTTTTGTTCATATCAACACGTATTTGATAAATTGTATTTAGGATTTATATCGAAATAATTTTGAAACTACAGATGCGAATTTTGTAACACCAATGCAGAGATCGGTAATGGAATGCAAAACTAGCCACAATCTAGTGAATGGAAAGTCGACGGTTGTTAGCTACAGGAACTGTTGCAAAAATAACGACCAAAACAAAAGACAGCTAAATAATGAATGGTGGTGGTTTATTTTTCTTTGGTGGAATACATTTGTTTTTGCCAAAAAAAAAAGAGGGAGATAGGGAGAGGACGACGAATGAGCGCAAATAATGGTAAATGAATTATAGTGTTTTTTCTTGGGTGGTATACATTTGTTTGTTTTTTTTTTTTAAATAAAAGGAGAGAGAGCGAGAGAGGGGAGAGTAGAGCATAGTAGGAAAATAGTTGTGATATTAATGAAATGTTTAAATTTTTTGGAAGACATTGAGTTTTTCTCAAGTTTATCAAAGAGAGGTATATGAATGATGTTATGAAAATATTCATTAAAAATGTTTTCCTGTGTATGCTTCACCCCACATATTTTCGTCCAATTTTATGTAAATTGTGCATCAATGCCCCTACTACGGTACAGTCTATAGTGACGTGAATTGATTCAAAAAACGATTGATTTAGTATAAAATAATTACAATTATAGTAGTGTTGTCGGGTTATTTGGGATACCATTTGTATTTTGTTTTTGCAAAATAGCCAGGCTTAATCCCAGTTTGTTATTTTTATAAAAAACAACTATTTATTAGTGGGGAATGTATGGCATTGTCCGCCGAGGGGTAAGGCAGATAAGACTATAGTTTCGGATCTCGCCACTGATCCTCATCAAGTCCCTTAGTTTTTTGTTCTCCCCAGAAGCTATTAATAACTTCTTTACAAAAAACCTTTCAAACCCAAATGTCTCTTGTGACAATTCGAAGTTCTTACGTTACCAGCGATACGACCCCAATGAGAAGTTCGTTTCGTTGGCGCCTGACAAACTGGGATTAAGCCTGACTATTTTGCAAAAACAAATTACAATTATATTTATACATATATTTTGAAAATTTCTCTGTTGTAATATATATTTATTTTCAAAACGTTATTTAACATAATATGTTTTTCTCTTCAAGATGTTCTCCCGCTTCTTCTTCCACTTCCTGGATAAACATAAATCCTTTAATCAGGTATGGTTCCAACAAATGTTTCTGTTTTGCTTTGCGTGGGCTTATGGATCGCATTTACAAGGTATGTTTATATATGTAACACATGATTTAAGGATGACAAGTTAAATGTGTGTTATTCAGAGCTCAGAATTAAATGGAGAAAATAAACCCAATACACACATGTCCTTTTGTCGATAAGTTCGGCATGGGTGGATTTAAAAATGCGCTTATGTGCACAGATGACTTTATGGGTTATATTGGTACATGATATTACTTTGATTGCAACGGAATAATTTATGTCCAGCTTTTTACTTCTCTTAATATGTTTTGGTATTTCTTGCAGTCAAAGGCATTAAACATTTCGATAGCATGATACGGAAAATTCTTTATGGTGCCAATGAGAACTATCCGCGACCTAAATACTTCTCCCTAAATCGAGGACAAATGTTTCCCGAAAAACTGACCCTTATGGATTATCGTTTCGATGAACAAGAAAATTGGTGGACATGGCAAAAGTCAGGTGACGATCCCACAGCTGTCACATCATTATTTCCAGAGGGAGCTCAAATCAGTGAACTAATCGTACCAACCAATGAGTCTGGTTATCTAACATATTGGCAAGAATTTTGCTTAAATTTGTCATATCCTATGCTGGTTATTGGTCCTACCGGCACGGGAAAAAGTGCTATATTGACGAACAATTTAATGGCGTTACCCAAACAATCGAATATGATTAACATCATTAACTTTTCCGCAAGAACATCGGCGCAATTGGTACAGGATACGGTTATGGCGAAATTGGATAGAAGACGCAAAGGTGTCTATGGTCCACCCGTGGGGAAAAAAGTATGCACGTCAAGTATGTGTATTAACAAGCCAGTGTATATAATTTGTATTTTCAGTGTATTGTGTTTTGTGATGATGTTGCGATGCCCAGCAGAGATACCTATGGATCTCAACCACCGCTGGAATTAGTGCGCCAATGGCTAGACCATGGCTATTGGTCTGATTTAACCGATACAAGCAAAATTGACTTAATTGATATGGTAAGTATTTTTCTTATTGAAAAAAGTGATCATTATTGACACCAGAGTCTTTGTCAATTTAATTCCTGTCACCTGAAGCAATTAAAAAAATAGCCAAAGTTTGTCTGACTGAGACGAAGTTTTGCACATGGCGCCAAAGTTTGGTCCCAGTCTGTTAGGATTTAAATATAAATATGAAGTAAAATTTTGCTCATCGCATTATAGGCCGGAGATCCTATTTTTTGCCCATTATTTCGGAGACGCTGACTACGATTTTGCAAGAAAAGACGTAAATATTTAATATCTCATTTCATTCTGTCTGTTATAAACATATGCACGAAGACATAATATCCTGTACCACAGTGTGGAGAAGGGTATTAAAATGGCGAACGCGCCGCCGGTTTCAATTTAAATTTTGGAAATCGTAAAAAATTTACGCTTTAGATAATTTAGGTATTCCTTCCACATATATTTTTTTCGGATTATATTTCAATAGTGCTCCCAACCTAAGAGGTTGTCCGAATTCGAAGACATTCTGCCCAACGTGGTATGGCTCCCATGAATATCTTCTTCCGATTTGATTAAATTGTTTGTCTGTTTGTTTAATGGGGTTTCAAATCGTTTCAGATTTAAATATAAATCCCATTTACTTTTTGCCCCATTTCATGTAATTTGGCAAAATGATGTTTGCCAAACATACTTTAATTCGGGTCAGATTTACATATTGCTTTAATATATAAATTTGTAGAACATTATATATATATATATATATATATATCGTATCCCGAAGTCTATACGATTGATATAAATTTTGTAATTTTAAATTTGTCTGGTTTTCTGTCCAGGGTTGTAGCATGCAACGTTAAGATGTATGTGGTAGATGTATTTGTGGAACATTGTAATACCTGCACGCATTTTTTACCGGCCTTATGGCTCGTCGGAGGGGGGGTTCATATGGCATCAATGTACCCTATACCAGTGTGCTACATGAAATTTAACATTTTTATTGCGTGCGAAATAAATGATATCAGAAATATAATACATTGTATAATAGAGAGAGAATGATAATACTGAGAAGAAAGGAGAGAAAGTACATGAAAGAATGTTCTAAAGAGAAAGCATCGAAGAGAAAGTAAGAGAAAGTTATATCAAAAGACTTAAGCAACAAGATAACATTTGCTGCTAAATCGCCCTCCCAACCATGGTCATCACTAGTTAAATTGCCCTCAGATAAAAAGTAAGGTATGACCCCATATATTCTACCAGCCTTTCTAATCAAAAGAAATCAATCAGATCATGTCTAAAATTCACTCAAAATTCATAATGAATAGATATATTTTTCAAAGAAAATTGTAAAACAAGAATAATTCGTACATAAATAAATTCATAACTTAAATAGAGTAACAAGTGGCATATGTGCCAAAACTAAGAACAAATTATGAGAAATATAACTTAAGCTGAAAATTTAGAATTATAACTAATCATACATTCGAACTTTACAAGAGAATGTAGAAAATACTTCATAAAGAATTATCATAGAGGCAAATAAATAACAAAATCTATCCTATATATAATTCTTAATAACGGCATGCAAAAATAAAAACAAATCATATTAGGTAATCAAAAATTGTAAGATTGGAGTGAAATGTAAAACATCATAGATAATCGAGGTAAATGTTGTTGTTGTTTTTCTTTTGATATTGTTTGTTTTCTACTCCAATTCTTGTGTGAAGACAAAAAGCTTTTGACAATAATACCACATTCGAAGTATCAATAATGGGGTGACCAAATTGACATACACTCCAGATGGAGAAAAATGTAGATAGGAATAAATAAGTGACCTCCAACAATTGAATGTAACTATTCAGTTAATTATCATGATTAAATATGAAGATCTTAATTTTTGCTATAGTTGTTATTTTTTTAACAAGATGAAGTTGAGGTGGTCACTCTGAACACTTATTCTCAAATTCCATAAAGAAGAGCATGACAAAAGAACAATGATAATAATAAAATAATAATCATTAACTTACTCTTACCAAGATCCCACGACGAAAGTACTTTCGTAGATAAGATGATTATGGTGGAGCGGCATTGGGTCTCTGCTGTAACTGAAATTCTCTTATTTGTGATGCTCTTTTCAATGATATTTCGAGATTAAGAGATTGTTGATTATCTTATTTTTGCAAACTGTTATACTTTCCATTGGTACTGCTGCTGTAATTCTCTTATGTTACTATATGAAGTGTAATTCAGTTTTGTATTAATACTTTGCCTACAATAGCAAGCTCTGCCGCCAGCGTAGACCAATGTACAGCCAAGCCATTCAGTTATGCTTACATATATATGTACATATATATTTATAAATATATGCATATATATATATATATATATATACTTGCCTGTACACTGGCCAAAAAGCAAATGGTTTTTAAATTCACTTTTTTATATAATTTCTACAAATCAGGAATCACGTAGATATATGTTAAAATTGATTTAAAAAGTAAAACGCTTAACACTGATGTATCGAATAAGGCTATTATTCCGCACCAAACTCCACTGAACTCCTTTTTTGGTTAGTTTAACTCCTTTTATACTATCTGGAACTAAATGAGTTTGGACCCTTTATATTGGATATTACTGGGTCATTTATACCTCGAAATTTCACGAACTTTTTTTTTTAATAACTTTCAGCATTTGACGATCACAGACAACTGATTAACATTGTTGCTTTAGGAAATCAACGAGGTCGACCATGCAGAGGTCTATGCGGATTTTCTGTTGTATATTTTGTCTATTCGGTGAGGTGCTCTCAGTAAAGCTTTATAACTGTTTGACTTTGCCCTAATAAAACAATTTCGATTAGATAAAGAGGAATTAGAAGAAATAGAGAAATATTACCTCTGGCAAAGCATAATTTATGCATAGAAATTCACCACGCAAATTTAGATGCAACTTTAAATATTCTCCGTGCGAAAGACATGTAAAGCCTCCATCGACAAAACCACGCACTAATAAAATCGTAATAAGTAATACGAAATCAAAATAACTTTTTATACTTTCTTACCCGTAGGAAAAAAAGTGAAGGCAAATAATTTTATTAGAATTATTAAAAATGCAAAATTACTTGATCGAATTATTATTCGAATCAGTTAAAATAATAATACGTTTTTTTAAATGTATTTCTATAAATGACTGCTTCACAAGAGTTTCCAAGGTCAAAATGGACGAGACCTTTGACTTTCCCCAAATCGAAACCTCGGTTATGACAATGAATCAGCCATTTTCATTCCAGATAGAAAAATAAGCATTACACCTTAGAACACAGGAAAAACGTCAACAAAGCGATAGACCAGTTTATACGATAAGACCTTTACATACAGATGGCTCTGAAACTCATGTTAACCAGGCCAGCACAATACCAGTTTAACAGGATTGGGAAAATACATTGCCGACAGTCGAGTGCAAGCGCCACTACAATTCTCCCCCGCCAAAATCAGGCTTGGGGGAATAAAATATTCACAAAAGGCTGATAACGCTTGCATCTACGAAGAAAATATGTTACTGACGTATATCCTTACCATGATATATGCCTACCAAATTCCCTCGAAGATCCTCAAGCTCATAGTAGCTACTACCTAACTTACGCCGAATGCGCGCTTTTAAGAAGTTAGGAGCTAATTTCGAATTGTAGCCATGCTCAAAGCTACTCTGCTTGAAATTACGACGAAATACTTCTTGTCCTTCTTCATAGGCAACCTCTCTGGAGCGAAGATTGTAAGATCTTTCATTCCTTTCAAACTGCTTGTCCATAATTTCTTTAGCCCTGTTTCCCATGATAGCTAGAGAATCATTTTTGGAAAACCGAACTGTCCTGTCATCTAACAACTGTAACTGGCGCAAAAGGGGATACACAGAGGCGTTGGTGATCATTTGTTGTCCAAATGCAAGGAAATAGGGTGAAGTTCCAATAGCTGAATGTGTAGTGGATCTTAACGCACATCCAATACTACTTAATAATTTATCCCAGTTCTTTTGGTCTGGCGAAACATAAGATTTGATAGCTGCTAGGATTGATCTATTAACGCGTTCTGATGCGTTCGCCTGAGGTGCATGTACAGCCGTAAAGAGATGATTGATATTATAGCGCTGTAAAAACTGAGTGAATAAATTAGATTTAAACTGAGAACCATTGTCAGAGACAATGGTTTCAGGCACCCCAAAAGTATGAAATAATTCCGTCTCGAGATAACTAATTACCACATCAGACGTAAATTTTTTCACCGGTTTGAGAAATGGGAATTTACTATAGTGATCTAGTGCTACAAATATCCCAATATTCCCAGAAGTGGACCTCGGATAAGGCCCCAGGAAATCGATGTAAATTTTCTGGAAAAATCTATCAGAACCAGACGTTTTTCCCATTTGGGGTCTTAACGGTGCATTAGGATGCTTGCTAGATTTGCATATGTCACAATTATTGACATATTTTTTTACGTCCACCACCATGTTAGGCCAAAAATAAAATCTACGGATTCTATAAAGCGTCTTATTGATACCACCATGAGAGGCAAGTGGATCATCATGCGCACGTTTTAACACCTCTGGAACTAAATCACGAGGGATCCAAAGTTTCCATGACAAATCGTCGTGCAGCTGTTCCCCAGTAGCATGATCTGTTCTCCTGTATAATAATCCATCCATGATCTTCAAATCTGGCATGTTATTCAAACTATTTCCTACCTTCTCAAGCAACTGTTTATATTCGTCTGATTGGAAATGGGTCGAATTAACGTCAACGAAAAAACCACTATTTAGCTCACTAGCAAAATGGGTATTTTCCTGTGAAAATGAACAACAACTAAAATCAAGGGAAGACAAATCACCAGAATTTACCCTCGAAAGCGCATCCGGGACTATATTTTGACTACCACGCCTATGTTCAATTTTAAATTTATAACACTGCAGTTTCAGTGCCCATCGAGCTAGCCGTGTGCTGAGATCAGTTTGGGACATGAGCCACTTCAACGACGCATGGTCAGTGATGACAGTGAACTCATGTCCTTCCACATAAGCTCTGAATTTTTTAATGCTTAGCATTGCTGCTAAGCATTCCTGTTCGGTAACCGAATAGTTGCGTTGGGCTTGGTTGAGTTTCTTCGACATAAAAGCGATTGGAAACTCTTCACCCTCCGCATCTTTCTGTACCAAAACTCCTCCTATCCCCGTCCTACTTGCATCACAGTGTATAAAGAACGGCTGTGAGAAGTCTGGGCTATGTAGGACCGGAGCGGTGCTCAGATGGGACTTCAACGTTTCAAAGGATTTCTGAGCTTCCTCAGACCAAATAAATTTTCGTTTTACTCGAGTTAAATCTGATAAGGGCGTGGCAATCGAAGCATAATCTCGTATAAACTTACGATACCATCCTGTCATCCCAAGAAATCTGCGAACCTGTTTTATTGATTTCGGAACTGGAAACTCTGTGATAGCCGATACCTTATCAGGATCGGTTCTAATCACCCCTTTTCCTACCACATGGCCTAAATAACGAACCTCCGATACGCAAAAATTACTTTTTTCAATATTTATAGTAAGTCCAGATTTTTTAATCTCGTGAGCCAACAACCTTAGTACTTCCAGATGCCGTTGAAACGAGTCCGAAATAATCAACAAGTCATCTAGGTAAACAAACACTTCCGTCCTGAGAGATGGCGGAATAACCTTGTCCATTAACCGCGACATTGTCTGCGGAGCATTACATAGCCCAAAGGGCATGACAGTGTATTGGTACAAGGGTCTCCCAGGAACGGTAAATGCAGTTTTTTCTCGAGACTCGCGATCAAGCGGAATTTGCCAAAAGGCA